TGGTACCCTCAGACCGGAAATGGGTCTCCTCTTTGTTTCCCCGCTTGCCTCCAGACGCACACACACATTCACTAGTTTAGTGCATGCAGCTTTTAGACGACTAGTACGGCAGTCGTAATTGCAGCTGTAATTATTGCGAGACACTTTCACTTTAGATGCTGCCGCTGCCGTAGTGCTAATGCAGTACAGTACTAATGTCAATGTTTGACTTTGCTTACATTTGATTTTCCATTTTTTGCCTCGACCGATTTCCATTGTGAGTGTCAAGCTTGACTGCCTGCAGGCGGTTTTTTCTGCCTGCCAGTTTGCCTTTGTGCTTGCCTGTGTTTGTTGGCGTCCCTCTAAAAACAAGGGTCGATTCCTCATGCATGTTACTTTGAAGGTAATTGAATTTATGTACATTGGCCATCGATCTGGAACAGGTACCTTGAGGTGAAGAGAGAAAGAGAGCAAAGAGCAACAACAACAGCAGTGCAAGGCCTGCATGCTCCAGTGTGTTTGTACGAATGTTTAAATTAATCAAACCAAATGACACTGCCGGTGAATCATTTTTTCGGTAACTTAATTAAATATCTTTCTTTTTGTTTGCCAGCTTTGGCGACAATGCTTAATTTTTCCATGCCCTTCCATACAGGCCCAGATGATACACTGCACTACTCTGAGTGCAACTAAACTTCTTTTAGTCATTCAGAATGATTCCGAGCACTCAAAGCTGGCACGATTCTACAGACAGTCAGACAAGTAGACACTTTATTTGATGCAGAGCCAATCAGTCAGTCAGTCAGACTCGTAAGGCAGACCAGCAAAGTAGTCTGGTGCACTGTTTCTAATTAAATTAACCATCATTTTTTGGTTATAAACGAGTTAGCTGTGAAGGCTGTACTCGACGACTGCCACACTTCAGGCCGGCAATTCGATTTAGACAGTGAGCAATTTAAATTTAATTACCCACAAGTTTACAGCAACATTTATGATCACACTGTGCAGTGTTTTATTATTTAGCTTTTTATAATTTTATTTTATGTTTAGTTTGATAGAATGAAGCTTTTATGCGGGAGACACGGGTGAAACAAAAAAAAGTAAAAAACAGCAAAGCAAAAGCAGAAACCCAAAAAACCAAAAAACGCAGTTATCGTTTAATGGAGCACAAAAAGAACAAAAGAGCGAGAGGAAGAAAAATTGAAAAATGCTAATACAATTAAATTAAATATTAAAAATTCAAAAGTGGAATGCAGGGAAAATAGTGAGAACGGGGAAGAGGATTTTGGCTGGCGTATATCACTGATATATCCACGAGAGAAAAACGGCCAAAAAACGCACAGGGCTTGAGCAGGAACAGCAGAAGAGGAAGTATAAAGTGCAGATTGAGTACAGTTTGTGTGAGTCGGAGATGGAGCGAAACGGAGAAGAGCAAGAAAAATGCCGACGAGCAGTTGTGGTAGTGCTGGTGGTGGTGCTGGTAGTTCTGATCCAATTGAATAAATAATACATTATTTGTCTGACTGTCTCTGCCTAAGCTTTTCTCCCCTCTTCTCTAGTCTGTTTGTTACCACAGAGGCAATGATTTAGAAGGCATAAACTGGAGCGAGAACAAGGCGGGTGCTGCAGAGAGGGCTTGATTTCAGTTGGGAGGTTCAAGGCTGCCACACAACAAGAGTGCTTGTCGGGTGAAGAGGCGGCGGCTGCAGCAACAACAGCAGCAACAGAAGAAAAGGGAGCACGTGCTTTGGAATACAATTATTAATTACAAAGTGGGGACTAATTGTGTGGATAGCGTTGGGAACGGGAAAAAAGTTGCTGTGTGTGCACAAAGAATGACTGGTTCCGGTTTGGTGTTTGTGTGTGTGTGTGCTCTGGCTCAGGGGGTCTTTTTGGCTGTTAGGAAAATTAGTTGTATGAAAAAGAAAAGGATAGTATAGCATATGTACAGGATAGAATTAGAAGGAAGGGGTTGTCTGTCAGTGTGGGCTGAGTGAGTGAGTGAGGGAGTGCAAACGAAGCAAAAAAGCAGTATGGCCTGAGACTCTGAGACGTATCACCACAACTCCGCCTCTGCCTCCCTTTTCTTTTCCAGCGAAAAAAACAGCACAGTTCACTATCAAAGTTTTTCAGTCGTGGTAAAAGTGCTAGATAAGAAGAACGATAAGAAGAAGGTGGTCGTGGTGATGGTCGTGATCGCGGCTGAAGTTGAAGCAGTGGGCCAAGGTTACAGCTCCTTTTTGCTGCCGCCGTTGCTGCTAATCTCCGTGCAAATGCTGCTGTTGCTGTTGTTGTTGTTGGCGTCATTGATGCCGCCATTGGCGCTGCCGTTCAGTTTGTGCGCTAGATTACCGTTCTTCAGGTGCAGCTGTTCCCTCTCCAGCTGCAGATCTTGCTTCCTCTTGGCGGCGGCGGCAATGTACGAGTTCTGGTAGAAGCGATAGAAAAGGTAGAAGAAGATGAAGGGTTGCGGGAAGCCGACGTAGGCCCAGAACTTTAGTGGGTAGCCCTCCTGCAGGAAAAAGAACGGCACTGTGTAGGCGCCGTAAATGGCAAACTGCGCCAGCTGCAACTGGGTGATGTACTTCTTCCACCAAAGGTACGGCTGAACGCTGGGGCCCAGCGATGAGAGCCCATAGTACAGGTACATGATGCAGTGGATCAGTGTGTTGCACAGCGGAAACAGGCCCAAACAAGATGCGGTAGGGGCGATTTTGAGGACTACCCAGCCAAGCAGAGGCACTACTGAGTGGTGGTAAAGATGGAGGCCTAAAAAAGATATAAAATGGGTGATTAGTTGTGATTAAGAAAAGCTTTTTTCTAAAAATAAACTAAATTTCATTTGTAGGCTTTCCTGTAACAGGTAAAAGTTGCAGAATTTGTATTTAGAAACCCTAATTATTATTTATGATCGTTATTGAAGGTGATGAGGTGGAAACCGCCGCAATGTGCAATTTCATTAACAGCCCTGCTATTAAACCTTTGAATCCATCAGCGNAGTGATGAGGTGAAAACCACCGCGGTGTGCAATTTCATTAACAGCCCTGCTATTAAACCTTTGAATCCATCAGCGNTTTTCCAGTAACAGATAAAAGTTGCAGAATTTGTATTTAGAAACCCTAGTTATTATTTATGATCGTTATTGAAAGTGATGAGGTGAAAACCACCGCGGTGTGCAATTTCATTAACAGCCCTGCTATTAAACCTTTGAATCCATCAGCGCAGCAACAGCACTTTTCCCGCCTATTAGCATAGCGCGGCCTGTGGATTAGCAGTTCTGGCGGTGAAAGGGTAGGCAAGGTAAGCAAGCTAGCACATTCGTTCATTATTGATGCCCAGCTGGTAAAACGTGCAAATGGCAATTAATAATTTATCATCCTTTTTGGAAGCAGCCGCCGCATTTCTCAGCAGCCCCCTCTTACGCAATGTTGCAAACAGAGCAGCCAGCACAAAATGATTGTGTGTATCTGTGACACCACCAGCTGTGATGCCTGCTCCAGTCTCAGTGTGATCTGGCCTGTTATGTTGACCAGCCTAGATTGGCTTACCACCACTACCAACCACTGCCAGCCCCCATTGTTTTACTGAGAACAGTGTGCTAGAGATATCGATTGGCCATTTAATCTGCCCCAGTAAGTTGGCAGTCACGAATAACGAACTCGGAGTGGTGGAGTAGTGGAGAAGACACAAGTTGTGTAGTGAGCAAACATACACACCGACATAGCAACACAGTCGTCGACAGTCCTCATGACTCTCTTTCTCTGGGTCTCTCACTCTCTCACTCTAGTCATTAGTCCTAAGTGGCGGCGGTGGTGGTGGACAGTTGAAGAAGAGGAGGACAAGGAGGAAAAGGCAAAAATGAGCGAGGCAAAGAAAGAGAGAATCTCTGCTGGACACTGCACGTTGCACAAGTGCTGCTGCTGTTGCTGTTGCGTGCACTACGACTTTCTGCCAAGTGATTACGCCGATTGACACCGAAACGAGTCAGTTTTTTNAGAGGAAAAGGCAAAAATAAGCGAGACAAAGAAAGAGAGAATCTCTGCTGGACACTGCACGTTGCACAANAAGGACAAAGAGGAAAAGGCAAAAATGAGCGAGACAAAGAAAGAGAGAATCTCTGCTGGACACTGCACGTTGCACAAGTGCTGCTGCTGTTGCTGTTGCGTGCACTACGACTTTCTGCCAAGTGATTACGCCGATTGACACCGAAACGAGTCAGTTTTTTGCTATGTTATGCTATGGTATCCTACAGTGCCAACAGGCACGCCAAACTACCATTGTGTTCACCGTGCTGGGACTGGTGACATTTGCATGTCCAACTGCAACAAAAGCCCCAGCAAAACCCTCATATTGCTGCAAAACCAAGCATGTGTAGAGCAAACAAAGTTGGGAAAATTATGTGAAAAAAGAGAGCGCTTTCCTCAATCGATTTGCAGTTCTTGGTTAAACAGACTGGCACTGATTGTGTGCTCATCAGACGGCTGAAAAGAAGTGCTAGAGGGGAATGGGCAGAGGGCTGGATGCACATGCCTGCACATCTATTTGACTCCATTTGCCTGGAAAATTTGGCTGCGATGGCGGGCACCCACTTAAACTGAAGTGCTGGTGGTGGTGGTGGCTGCCCTTCTCAGAGGACAGAATGTCACTACTCCACTGTTGTGATAGGCTTACTGCTGTTGCCTTGTCTTCAGATTAATGGAGAGGCGGATGAATGGTCGTATAAAAAAATGTGCCCAGTGGTAAGTTGATGCACAGTTGGTGCAAGACAAAACATGGTCGCTCACATTTGCAAATTGGCAGCTCCATAAAAATAGAAAGGCTAGTTCTTAGCTTCTTACGAGTGGCAACTTTCTATCTATCTTTCTATTTATCTTTTCTGTGGGCAGTAGTGATAAAGTCGATTTGATAGTGCCGCCGCAGATTACAAGTGCAACACAAAGAGAGGAAAGAAAGATCGATTGCCAGGCACTGTAAAAGTAGTGGGCAGTAAAAACGTTCTGCCGTACAGCAGGGTCACAAATGGCCAGGCCAGTGAAAGGTAGTGAAAAGGTTTCAACAAATGGAAAGCAGGGTGCCATTTGGGGGTAAAAGTGTAGGGAGCTGACTGACTGAGCAAGCAGAGTAACTGAGAGAAAGGCAGAAAGTTGAAGTCAGTTGAGCTTATCAGTGGAGAGTGCAGCTGCAGCAGTGGGACAGTAAACAAAAACAAACACTCCCTCAGTGTGGCAAAATCGAATCGCCATTCATTTTCATAGATGACTGAATTTAATTTAGATTACGAGAGGGGCGAGAGAGGGTCGGTCTTTAGCAGCAACGACAGTGAAACGCCCAACTGCAGCAAGGAAACGTGCTGCCATTTCTACTGACCATATTTCTGCGACATAGAGAAATTGCAAGTAAAAGGGCAAAGTACAACAGAAACAACAAATGAACAAAGCAGTAGAAAAGAAAGCCAGGCACAATGGCGGCCCAAAATAACAACTGCAATGGCCCAATCACAACTGTAAATAGAGCACTGGGGAGTGAGAAGCCGACACAAACGAATGACCGTTGCCAAATGAGCTAGCCTATTTCTGCAATTAACTACATTAGGGTAATCTGTGCACGCTACCCGAAACTTGGGCTTTTCCTCTTCTTTTCTGACTGCGTATATTTTCATATCTTAATTAGAGAGGGAGAAGATGCTAGCAAAGAGGCCAAAGCAAAGAGGGATGACACCAAAATGGACAGCAATTTATTAGACTGTGTAAAAGAAAAGACTGTGTACGGTTTCATCGTTAGCCTGTTTCAGCCGGTCGTGCCTAGAATCACTACGAGAGACTTAGCTTAGTTGACACGTACCCAGAGCGGCTAAAGCTGCTTCTAGCTAAAAGAGGAAAAGAAAAAGAAGAAACAGAGTGAATCAGGAAAAGAAATGCTGATCTAGGAAAAGGAGCAAGAAGAGATTACTGGAGGGTATCACACACAAATTGCTGATTATCACATGTACACACTAGTGTGTGTATGTAGTGCAAAAGCTGCTGCTGCAGCAAAAAAGAAAGATGATGCTTAGCTGCAGTGCATTCATAATGCCTTGTGTGACACCCAGACTTCCTGATTTCTCGTGAAGGCACTACACAGCACATTAAAGCCTACTCGGAAAGGGTTGGGGAAAACTTTACTGTCGTCTTTTCCTTTAAAGTTTACTACTACATGCTAATTGAAGAAGCACTTTTCTTGAGAATTTGACTAGAGGGCACTTTTTAAAAACTGCTGTTTCGGAAAAAACCAGTGGAACACACAACTCTATCCTGACAATCCTCGACAAGTGAAAACAAAGCCATGCACTTTAGAGGAAAGGAAAAAGAAAATGTGCTGCAGTTCTCAAACAAGTAAAAAACAAAAAAGAAAGCCAATCTTGGCGGTTCTTATTTCGCTAGTTTTGAAGACTGACAAAATACAGAGCGGCACTTTGCCGCCGCCACCGCCGTCATCAGTCAGGCTGCATCAGCAGCTCAGGGAGATGGCAGTGGAAATGAAAGAGGAGTAGTATCAATTGAAAAATGATGAAAATGAAAATTCCCATGCGAATTATCCGTCTTGCGGCAATACCACCGCAATACCATCCAGGCCTGCACTTTTACAACTACTAAAACTACTAGGACTGCACCAAAAGACATCGATATGAAGGCGCTGCAAAATTGTGTGTAGAGTTTTCTACTCCGGGCCTGTCTGTTTGACTGGCTGGCTGTTGTGTTGAAAAGTGCCAACACCAGATATGACGCAAGCATCTCTCCGATCTCTTCTTTTCTGCAATTAGAGTCAAAATGTGAAAGTGAGAGAGCATTGCAGACTGTGGTCATTCAAATGTAGCTGCAGACTGCTTTTACTTCTCCCTCACTCGCCGGCAAATGAATTTAGTAATAATAAAACAAAATCGATAGTACACAAGTGGCATTGGCCGGGTTGGCTGCGTAGACTGCCGCCGCCGCCACCACTATCCCCCTCTAATTAGGAAGGCAGAAGGCTGATGAAAGAAAGAGAAAACAGAGAAAAAGAGTCTGACTAGTGAAATAGAAGAAGTTAATTCTACAATAAAAAAGAAGAGGCTGAAAAAAGAGAAGACAGTCTGGGACTGAGGCAAGTGCACACTGGCAGTTGCTGCTGTTGTTGTCAATGGAGCCGAGTATCTTTTGTTGCCCAGTCGATGAAAGCAGTCTGCTGGTGCTAGAGCTGGAACTGGTGCCGTTGATGGCACTGACAGTTGCTGACTTACTACTGATGCTGGTGCTGATGGTTGCGGCCACACTGGCCGTCATTAGCGATGAGACGCAAAGAATGGCAGAGCAGGGTATAAAAACAGTTTACTAAAAAGGTCAGTTCAAGGGGTTGTCTGAATTGATTTATGAGAAACAGAATAAGAGAGGCAGAGGGAGTAGGTTTGCCCCAAAACGGACGCCACATTCATTCGGCCTCCACTCACTCGTGTCTCTGCTGCTGTGGCAGTGTCTGTGTCTGTGAGTGCTTGTTCGGTCCGTACAACNAAGAGGCAGAGGGAGTAGATTTGCCCCAAAACGGACGCCACATTCATTCGGCCTCTACTCACTCGTGTCTCTGCTGCTGTGGCAGTGTCTGTGTCTGTGAGTGCTTGTTCGGTCCGTACAACTAATG